ACTGGGCCCAACAAACTCTGTCCTGGAATGGGGAGGAGCTCCTGAAGTTCCACCCCTCCCTTAGCATCCATAGGCAGTTAATAGAAGCTAGAGGAGGGAGAGATTTTCTTCAGTGTTGTAGCCACTAGTGAGGTACCCATGTTCCTATAAACAACCGCCTCACCCGCGCTTTTATAAGCAACCCTAATGAAACTCATTGGGCCACCAAGAAAGAAAAACAAAAACAAGCCCCCCCCCCCACAAATATAGAAGGAGGACTTATAAGGAAGAAGAAAGGATCAGGTGGAATGGGAGAAGGACAAAGGAATATGACAGACTGAATGTTATCAAAATAATTTATATATGAAATTATCATAATGAAACTTGTTATGTACAATTAATATAACAAAAGCTGATGAACTAAAACATATGTAGATATATGTATGTATGTATGTTATGTATGTATGTGTTTTGGGCTTCATTGACCTCCTTTCTGCATTCTGACTATGTGTTGTTTCACATGGAGCCATGAAGGCAAGACTGCTGTTTGTAATATCAGATACAAATCAAATATATGCTGCTTTCATTGGAATTAGGAGTTGGATTTCAGTTTATACAACCAAGACGATTGGACAAGGCCATAATGTTGAGGTTGTAGGGTCTTTCCCACCTCCACTTTCTTGAATCCACGGAGGAAGAAGCCAGCTACTGAGGTCTTCCTGCTTTTACAGATTATCATTCTTCTAAAACTGATAATTTATAGAGGTGTGAAGAAATAGCAAAGGAACCTCCCCGGTTTATGCTGCTACCTAGCTGCTAAGCCTGATGTGAACCATGGAGCTTATACTATTTTCATGAAGGAAAGTGGGAGAGCGTACTGTGATGAGGCGGTTTTGCATGTCTAAATGTCATTTTCAATTTCTCTTACCACAGAGCTACTTTTCTTTCCCTGTGCTGCTTTCTGGACCCCTGCCCTGATTCCTGTGTTCCATCCATTACGAGATTCATTCCTTTCAGTATTCACTAGACTAACCCATTTCAAACCAGTCCTGGGGTAACAATAGGTAGTGGGGAGGTCCTTAGGCTCTTCCAAAGGACAATGATAGCAAGATTCTCTCTGACCTAATATTATGGAGCTATTTGTTTTCAGTCAAAGGGCGGAACACCTAGGTCACTGCACACAATTTCAAGAAGGTATATTTGTAGATAGAAAAATGCCACCTTAGAAGCCTTACCACTGCTTCCTCAGCTTTCCACCTGATTGCTGCTTATTTTTAAGTGGCAATAACAAAGACAGTCTACTCCTTTTGCTGGGCTCACAATTGTCATTTATGCTGAAAAGGTCAGTTTGTCATCTCCCTCGGTACTCCCATAAGGAGACTCAAGTCCTCTCCACAGGGAATCAATGGAAGACACACTTCTCTGCCTGCTTTGTAAGGGAGAGAACTGGAGAATCAAAAGGCAGAATACATGGACCTGTTACGCCCCCTCTGTCTGCCTGCCTGCTGGGATTTGTCCCTGCACACCTGTGCTCCCTGCAGTGGCCTGCATGCATAGACTTAGGGCTAGAGCATATATACCTTCCAAGTAATAAATTGCAAGTGGCAGGTGGGAGGGGCCCTCGGATTTGAGATGGACTCTTCACCAGAAGCCCTGTTTTTTGAGTGGGTGTTAATCTCTCAGCTGCTGGGAAAACTGACATTTGACTCATGGATCTTGGAGTGTGACTCAGAACTCCCAGGGACAAGGGGGTGAGTGCTACACTCTCCAGACTGCTGACAAAGTATGGCTCCTGGAGAGCTTTCCTTGTACTTGGCATACCCAAAAAAAAAAAAAAAAAAAAAAAAAAAAAAAAAAAAAAACAAGCTCTCTTTATTCCCGATGTGGTGGTTTGAATAAGAATGGTCCCCATAGACTCATATTTTTAGGTGCTTAAGGAATCACATTAGGTGTGGCCTTGTTGTAGGAAGTGTGTTATTGGGGGTGGGCTTTGGGGTTTCAAATGCCCATGCCAGGCCCAGTGGCTCTCTCTCTCCCCGCTGATACTGATTTAGAGCTCTAGGTTCCTTCTCCAGCCCATTGTCTGCCTGCATGTCGCCATGCTTCCTGCCAGGATGATAATGAACTAAACCTCTGAAACTGTACAGCCCTAATTAAATGTTATTTTTTTTCTTTTATAAGAGTTGTCATGGCCATGATATCTCTTCTCAGAAATAAAATCCTAAGACACTACTGCTCCTTCTACACTTCCTGTCTGAGAGACTGGCCTCAATCTTCTATGACATTCCAGGCTAAAATTCTGATTGAGTATATATAGGTATCTTACCTCAGGTTTCTATTGCTACAACAAAGCATCATGACCAAAAGGCTAGTTGTGGAGGAAAGGTTTTATTGGGCTTATAATTTCACATTTTAGTATCTCACTGAAGGAAGTCAGGACAGGAACTCAAATAGGGCAGGAACCTGGAAGCAGAAGCTGATGAAGAGACCGTGAGGGATGCTGGTTACAGGCTTGTTCATCATGGCTTGCTCAGCCTGCTTTCTGGTAGAACTCAGGACCACCAGCCCAGGGTTGGCCCCACCTACAATGGGCTGAGCCCTCCCCTAACAATCACTAATCCACTTTACAGCTGGATCTTTTAGAGGCATCTTCTCCATTGAGGTTCCTTCCTTTCAGTTAACTCTAGTTTGTGTGTCAGGTTGACAAGATTAGCCAGCACAACAGGCCTTTGTGAGTTTACTTTGGACATACCTTTCCTCATCCACACATATAAATCTTGTAGCTGAGTGCATACTACATCTCACTCAGACCTCAGCTACAATGTCACCTCCTAGGTCTTGACTGCCCTACAAGAATGACTGCTCCTATAATCCCCACTCTTCTCTACCACACTACATCTCTCTCTGATCATTTATCTACCTCTTCCACTGGACTCCCAGATGGCTGTGAGTAAAGGCTGCACCTTGTTCATCCTTGAATGCCAGCATAGCCAGCCAGCAGTAGCTGTTTGATAAATAATGCTTTGTAGGAACAACACTTAGGCCTACGAGTGCCTGAGGCTGTATTGCTTGCACCATGGTAACAAGCCTAGCTTTAGAACTTGAGACCATGGTAACAAACCTAGCTTTGGAACTTGAAACCTGGCCTCAGACCCTGCTATTTGTACGATCTTTGGGTGAGTTTCTTGAGGTTTTTTTTTTTTTTTTTCAGTCTTAAATTTTGTCATGAGTGGGCTGGGGATAATCACTACTTCTTAAGATGTGGTATAATAGAGTATGCAGAACACTTGAGCAATGTATGTATGGTGCATACATAGCACTCAGTTTGTCATCGAGTCTAATCAGAGCAGCAGCAGCAGCACAAATAACACAGCCATCTACAACGGAAAGAGAAGCTGTAAGAAATACATGGAACTTAAAACCAGGCATGTTGAATGCTTGTATATGGACTTTAAAGATGTAAGGAGTTGGGTAAGAGTGCTTGCCTCACATGTGTGAAGCCTTAGGTTCAATCTCCAGTACTATAAAAAAGAAGAAATAAATAATTGGTCCAGTGAGGTGGCTCAGAGGGTAAAGGTGATTGCTGCCAAGGCTGACAACCTGAGCAGGATCCCTGGGACCCAGATGGTGGAAAGAGAGAACTGACTCCCACAAAAGGTCCTCTATGACCTCTACACGTGTACCATAGTACGAATGCACATGTGCCAGCACACGTAATATAGAAATAAATAAATGAAAAGTAAGGTTCAGGAGCAGATGGGAAAGAATGAACAAGAAAAAAAAATTGGGGCAGAGCTGAAGACAGAGAATCCCAAGGAAGTCCACATTTAAGGGGGTAAGAACAGTCAGAGTAGAACAGAGAGAGAGAGAGAGAGAGAGAGAGAGAGAGATTGCAACTTGGAGATTGCTACCTTTCAGCTACCTGAGATCACCAAGGATGCCATTTTGGAAGGATGGTGAATGAGGAGAATAACCAGCCACTGCTGATGTTAGCTACCTGGGATCTAGCCTGTTCAGTAGCAACATGGCAAAGAAGGCATGCTGTAGGAGGCTAGCGATGGCCATGCAAGGGGCAGAAAGGCAGTGTTTGCTACAATGTGCATTTCTGTGGTATGAATTACTCTCTGGCAAAAATTAAGAATCAATTCCTGTGAAAAGTGAAAGTCACTTTGCTCCTAAGGAGCTGGTTTTCTCATCATGTTAATATTTTCCATCACTGGTTAATAAAAGCTGAAAGCAAAGTGTTGTAAAACAGCTGAAAGTAGCAAGCCTTGGGGACCCTGGGAGCCTTATGCAAGACCCACTTGCCCTTATGTTCCATTTGGCTGTGTTCTGAAGTGCTTGGGGGTATTCTTCATTACTCTTTGTACACTTAATAGTCAGCCTTTCTGATTACTACACCCATTACACACCTTCTTCTTAAAAGGTAAATGGCCATGTTTATTAGAGTATTTAATTTTTTAAAAGATTTGTGTTTGTTTGTATGTGTCTGTAGAAGCCAAAAGAGGACATCTAATCTCGTAGAGCTGGAGTTATAGATGGTTGTGAGCTCTGAGAATTGAACTTCAGTCCTCTGGAAATGCAACTCTTAACAGCTGAGCCATCTCTCCAGCCCATACAGTGTTTTTTCCCCCCTTAGGAATTTAATATTAAAAATTATGGGTCATTTATGGTGTTGATTGTTTTTCTCAGTGCTCCTGAAGTCTTTCCCTAACTCTTTCTCCTCTGGTGACACACACACACACACAGTGTTTTTTTTTTTTAAGAAATATGTATGTAAAAATAAATGAAATGCTCATGCTTGTTCCTTTTCTTGAATGATACTGACTGGAAGGAGACATGGAAGGGATTAGCAAGGTCTATGGTGGAAGATTTTCCCCAAGGATAACTGCTTGCCTGCAGCTTGGTCTGGACCAGTGTGACTTGATTTTCCTGAGGGATTCTTTTTCCAAAGTGTTCTTGGTCGTATGTTTGCACAGTTTGGTTTTTGCATTTATACCTCATCTTTTATCCTGTTGTAGTCTGAACCAGTGTCTGAAGCTGACTTGCACCCTCAGAAGAACAGAGCTCCTTCCCAAACTGTAGAAAGCAGTCCATCAAAGAAGGTAAGAACAGCAGAAAGATGCTGTAGTGGTAGCATAAAGGCCCCTGGGCATCTTCCATATCTACCACTTAAAAGTTTCCACCAAGATGACTGTGACTGAGCCACAATTCTGAAGTGTGAGTTCTTTCTGAAGATTAGGATCCTGAGGGCTCTGGGGCTGAGCTGTGGATGTCCCTGGCAGTTTGTACTCTTCCAACTAAGTATGGCTTCCTTGCTTTTGGCAAGATAAAAAAAATGTTGTGTAGGGGCAGGAGAGAGATTAGTGGTTAAGAGTGATTACTGCTTTTGCATAGGATCAGGATTCAGTTCCCAGCTCCCATATGGTGACACACTACTTTTTGACCTCTGTGGTTATTACACACAAATGGTGCACATGCACACAAAATGTAAAATTAAATGAATAAACACCTTTATAATGTAGGCTTTCCTAAGACTCCATACATCTGTGAATGAGGCAGAGGAGTATAGGAATAGCTTAGCAACTTTGGACTCCACTTGGTTGAGGATATGCATACACTGCTCTCCTAACACTGCAACCAGCATCCTAGAACTCTTACTTGCTTCAAGTTTCACACATACCCCACTGCAAACAATGGCATAAGTTGCTCCTGCCTTTTTGTAACCATTTAGTGGTTATTTGTTTGTGGTCCATTTCCTTTAAAAAATGCCCCAGAACATATGAGGGATGAGACACAGGGAACCCATCTGGCCTGGACTAGTTTTGGATGCATGTGCATTAAGGTAAACTGTGTCTTCTGTATGAACTTTTAAGAAAAACCTTCTATTTACCATCTTATGTCTAATTGGGCATGCATGTAATTAAAATCAGATGTATCACGGGAAAGGACATGCACAGTGAGGAAAAGGTTCATATAACCCAAGCCTGTCGGTCAAATAGAATCCTCCATATTACACCCCATAGCAACAACTTCTCCGTCTCCTGGACCCCATAAAAAAAGCCATTTGGGGTTGGCAATAGCATGCTTAAATAGCCCACTGATGTCTCATACTGTTCATTTATGAGACCAACTTGTTGCCTACTATGCTAACTTAAAGTACTATCACTTTAAATCAAGCTTGTTGGCTGCTTTGCTATTCATATGCTCATTTTAAAATTCTTCGAATAAGACACCAAGAATCGGGGACCATCTAGTTCAGACAGTGACTCCTGCTAATAGTAAGACCCTGTTAGCACCTCTTGTGCATGGGACAGTCTCCCCTTCTTGCTACCATGATTTCTTTCTTTTTTGTTGTTGTTTTATTAATTTTTAAAATTAGCTTGCAGAGCAGTAAGTTTCACCATCACATTTCCAACCGTATTTGTCTTTGTTGGTTCTCTTCTTCCTCTTCCCCTCCTGCTGGTTATCGGGATTTTTTTCATGCATCTTGGCACCTTTACTTTTTTCAGCCTGTGCCATTGGGCCCCTGCTCTTTACATCACTAGCACTGCTCACTATTGTGCTTCCTACTTACATTCTCATCCTCTTTTTGTTCTTCAGTATTGTCTCCTAGGCCATTCTCTTAGCAAAGAGAGTAGACCTGGGCTTTGGAAGGTGACATGAGGCCCTCTAAGGAAGCAGGTCAATTCTTTCCTTGAATGCACTGGCTTTGTTTGTTTGTTTGTTTATTTGATTGATTGATTTCATGTAGGAATCAAGAGTAGGAGAATGATGAGTGTATGCCTTAGAACATCATAGACTTTGAAATGTAGTCTCCAAAAATCCCCAGAGTGAGACAAGAGTCAATTTTGTCTTCAATTAGAAAAGATCTCGTGGTTATACAACAGTGGTTCCCAATCTTCCTAATGCTGTGACCCTTTAATACAGTTCCTCATGCTCTGGTGACCTCCAACCATCAAATTATTCTGTTGCTACTTCATAACTGTAATTTTGCTACTGTTATGAATTGTAATATAAATGTCTGATATGCAGAATATCTGATATGCAATTCGTAAAGTGGTCATGACCCACAGGTTGAGAACTACTGTTATACAAAGTCTGTGTGAGTTTAAATGACAAGAAAAGTATAGATTGTTTACAAATTAAAAAAGTAAAAGAGCAAGGCCACTAGAATCTTATTTTGGTGTCCTCCTTGGTAATAGAAAAGGGCAGCAGATTCCCAGCGTATTTTACAAAGAAAGGTAGGCAGGCTGTTTGTTGAAAGCTGCTGCCAGCAGTGTTCCAGCACTTGCTGAGGTAGGTATGAGCTACAGGTCTGTGGTATGTAGTTTTAATAGAGAAGTCTTCTGATCTCAGGGACAGAACTGTAGACAGTGGCATGATGGACAGCGGGATCATTAAAGAAAACTTTGTGAGTGTTTTGGATTTCCTTTTAATCCACAGGATGCACCTCATGCTCAGCCTCCATCAAAGCCTATTCGGAGGAAATTCAGACCTGAAAATAAAACTATAAAAACCCAAGAGCCAGCTGCTGCAGTGGGAGGGGCAGCAGCTTCTGCAGCAATGGCAAAACCCAATCCAACAGTACAAAAGTAAGTGACATAGATGAGTAAGAAGATGGTGGGGAACTCCCTTTTACATCTGCATGCATATGTATTTGTTAATGTGTTTGCACTTATAGTCCTAGCCATAGGGTTTTATGGTTGCCATAGTCATCTGTGCCATGGTACTAGTGATGGTGGTGGCATTAAAGGCTCCCATTATGATAGAAGTCTGTCTTTGAGAAGATCTATTACTTGACTCAGTCCTTCTGTAATGACATTACACTGCTGTCACTTGACTTGAAGAGAGCCTCACTGGCCAGCATGGCAAATACTTGAGATCATTTGTAGAGGCTCTTCAGATCTTGGGGGCTCTGTAGCTTTCCTTCTGTGACTGTTGTAGCATCAGGTTCTGTGGCTGATGTCAGCAGCTTGCCTGGGAAGCTAGGTACCATTTGGATTCTTTGTATCCTTCTTTAAAGGATTTTTCTTTCCCCAAATGGATAGTTCCCTGAAGGTATCATCCAAGAAGTGACTTTTCTGCCTTGTCTCCACCTTCCTAACCAGAGGGATAGATTGTGTCAGGTACAAAGGTGACTATATTTTCCTCCCTAATGTCAGCTTCATATTAATTCTAGTCAGTCAGTGGTGGCCACATTGCCCTCCAAAGTACTATATTCACAAAAGTCATGTGGTCATTACCACAGTATAGTTTGGGGACATTTTTGTTAACTCCAAAAGAATCTCCTGCCCACTGGGAGTTGTTCCCCAGTGCCCCTTCCCTGCCCAGCTCCTGAAAACTGCTATTTTACTCTCTGTCTCTACTTTGTTTACATTTTACATAGTCATGTATTATGTAGTCCTTTTTGTGCTTGACTGCTGTTACTTATTTTAGTGTTTGCAAGATTCATCCATACTGTAGCATAAATTATATCTTAATTTTTTATGTGGAGTATTTTTCTAATTTATTAATGTTCTACATGTTATTCATTGATTCATCAATCAGACTTCTGGGTTGTTTGAACTTCTTGCATATTATGAATAATGCTGTGGTTTTGTCTATGTTCATGTTTCTGTGTGGACTTGTGTTTTAGTTTTTAGTTCTCTGCTTCTTTATCAATACTTATCTAGTTTGTATAAATTGTTTTACTTTCTGATTTTATAATGTAAGTGCACCATTCCTTCTTTTCCTTTCCTTTCTCCAAACCCTTCCACATGCCTCTTCCTGCTCTCTTTCAGACTCGTGGCCTCTTTTTCCATTAACTATTGTTACATTCATATAGAATTCCTAAATAAATAAACAAAACAAGCTCAGTCCGTATAATGTTACTGGTATGTATATGTTTTTAGATTGGCCATTTGGTATCAGATAACCAATTGGTGTGTTCTTCCCTGGGGAAGATTGTTTCTCTTGTTCTCAGCATTCTTTAGTTGGCTGTGGTTCTTTGTGTGGGTTGAGGACTTGTGATCTTTCCCTTGTCCGTGTTATCATGTCTATTGGTATCATCTTTTTTCAGGTTATGTTTAGGCAGTCATCCATCCTAGTGACCATGACATGCTGTCTCATTGTGGTTTTGAGTTTCATTTCCTTAATGATTAATAGTATTGAGCATTTTTAAAATTGTCCTTGTTGACCATTTCTATACAGTTTTGGATAAATATCTCCTTATATCCTTTGCCCACTTAAGAGTTGAGTTATGGGTTCTTTATATAGTCTGCACCAGCTCCCTTAACAGATACATGATTTTCAAATATTTTCTCCTGTTCTGTTATTTTGTTTTTTTTTTCATTTTCTTTGTTTGTATATTTTGAAGTACCAAGTTTATATTTCTGTGTGTGTGTGTGTGTATGTGTGTGTGTGTGTGAGAGAGAGAGAGAGAGAGAGAGAGAGAGAGACAGAGAGAGACAGAGAGAGACAGAGAGAGAGAGAAGAGAGAAGAGCTCATTATACAGTCCTGCTTGACCTATAACTTGACTTGTCACCAGTCTGGCTTTGAACTCACAAATATCCACCTGCCTCTGTCTCCTGAATTCTGGTGTTGAAGTTGTACACCTCCATGTCTGGCTTGTTAGTTTTATTTTTAGTGTTATATTTAAGAAACTGTTGCCTACTCCAAGTTGGCCTGCTCTTTAATTACCTCCCCCTGAGGTGGGGGTAGCCTTACCAGGCCACAGAAGATGACAGTACAGCCACTCCTGATGTGATCTGATAGACTTAAGATCAGAAGGAAGGAGAGGAGGACCTCCCTTATCAGTGGACATGGGGAGGGCATGGGTGAAGAAGGGGGTGGGAGGGTGGGATTAGTAGAGGAGGAGGGAGGGGCTTATGGGGGGATACAAAGTGAATAAAGTGTAATTAATAAAATAAAATTAAATTAAAAAAGATTATTTACTTATAAAAGTCTTGTCACTTTATAGCTGATGCTGACACCTACCTATGGGTATATTTTGAGCTGATTTGGTGTCTCATGTGAAGATGGGGTGCAACTTCATTATTTGACATGGTAATTATACAGTTGTGCCTACAGTATTTATTGAAATGGTGTCCTCTTCTAGTCATATGTTCTGTGAATGTCCCTCAGCATGCTAGTGTGAGGACCATGTAATATTTAGCTGAGAGACTAATGTACAGGTCACAGTGTGAATAGTCACAGCCTATATTTTTCACATGAGAGTATTTTATCCAGCTGATTTTAGTTCTAAGACTAGTTTATTTTGGCATGACTGGAAGGAATCTAGCATTTATAATTTTACAAGGCTGGGAGCAAGATACAGACTATACAAAATTGTTGACCTACAGGTCTTCCTCAGACAGAGTTTTGAGAGAGATGGAAGCTCAGATTCTCTTAGACATGTGTTGTGTATGGCTAAGTTACACCTCCCCTACTTCTTTCTCATTTACAGTGTTTGTTGCTATGTACTATCTTTGGGGAACATAAGAAAAAGAGTTACAATCATTTTCTCTAAGCCTTAATTCTCCAACCGAACCCCGAGAAAGGCTAAAAATAAAGTAGACTAGCTGTAAGGCTGTCATCAGCATTTATAGAAATTAACATAAAAATGAATCATTGTCGGAAACAAATTCACTTTTCGTATTACATTGTCCACACAAAGAAATTAGTAAGTTTGTCCAAGTAAACTGCAATAGACATTCATAATGTGTCATCATTAATGAAGACAAACATGAATTTGGCTTAGTTGTTTCTTTGCTGCATCTTTCCTGTTCACTAAAGATGAACCTTTGGAAAGTAGGATTACTTACGCAGTGTGGAGGCAAGGGGCAACAGGTAACAGTACAATGGCTCTGGGCCAGCCTCTATATTCTCTGCTCTTCCCTGTAACTCCAGAGTATGTTCTAGCAGCTAGTATAGACTGTTTACTTACCTGCGTGATGTTCTCAGTGAGGTTGCAGGTTTTTTTTTTTTCTTTTCATTCTCATTCTTGATGTAATGGGATTGTTTGTGGGATTGATAGCTTGAATCCCTGGATGGAAATCCTCCAGTTTCCAACTGTGGAAAGGGTAATACAAGTTTTGGATTTAGAAGATGCACCCAGTTTCCTTGGGAGAAATCAAGGCCCAGGGAGAAGTCTAAGCAGGCAGGCTCTCATGTCGTCATGGTTGGCTCTCTGTGTAGCTGAGGATGATGAATTCCCAATCCACCTTGTTTTCACTTCCCAAATGTTGGGATGATAGATGCAAGCCAGCATAACCATTCTAATATTTTTCTCATTTAGAGATTCTTATTTATATTCTTTCTGGGAAGAATTTTTTTTTTCAGATAAGGTCTCATGCAATAGCTCAGGCTGGCCAGGAAGTTACCACATAGCTGAGGCTCCCTTCAAACTCATAGAAACCTTCTTGACTTATTTTTCTGAGTGCTGGTTTCAGAGACATGAGCCACTATGCTTAGCTTATATGCTTTAAAAATTATAAAAGTATAATGTACACATGTATCAGGGTTTCAAAGAGTGAGCAATATACATTATATATTTTAAATTTGGGTTTACTACTTAAACAGAAAATACATTTCAGAAGGGTGGGATTTCTTTTTTCAGGAAGCTAGGCATCTTGTCTTCCTGTTCTAGGTTATGCTGTCTTTTGCCTTTATCCATGAGGCTAATGGTGACTTGTCACCCACATATTTATATTTCAGGGCATATGGAAAGGGAAAAAGAACAAATAGAGAAATAAGCCAGCTTATTGCTGAGATCTTTCAGATCTTACTGGCTCAAAACTTAGTCACATGTATCTTACTCACCTGCTGAGGCAGCGGGGAAGGATACTTTTTGGTTGGGTGACGTGATGATCAGTTCTTACCTGTTAACTCAATACAACCTAGAATCACCTGGGAAGAGGGTCCTAGGTAAGGAATTGTTTGGATCAGGCTGGCCTTGTAGGCATGTCTATAAGGAAATTGTCTTGATTGTTAATTTATGTGAGAAGATCCAGCCCACTGTGGGGGCCTCCATCACCTAGGCCTGGGTGCTGAGAGCAGAAGTAGGTCTGCATGCATTTACATCTCTGTGCTCTTGACATGATATGACTTGTTGCCTTGAGCTCCTTGCCACTGTGACTTCTCTGTTATGATGGACTAAAACCTGGGATTGTCAACCAAACTAACCCCTTTCTTGTCTAAATTGCTTTTGTTGGGGTATTTTTATCACACAACAGTATGAAACAATGAAAGCAGGGCAGGTGGCCACATGTCTAGCTGAAATAGAAGAGTTATGTAGTATGGAACACAAGGGGGCATAAGGATAGATTTTGGGACTCAGGATGTAGTTTAGTGGTAGAGAGCTTACCTTATATGCACATGGCCCTGAGATCAATCCTCATCACCATGAAAACTGTTTTGAGAGGTACTCTGACAAAAAATCTTGTGTTGACAGTGTTGTACAGGGCTTCTGTTCCACATCAGCAGACAGTGTGGCATGCAATGGGATGAAACAAAACGGTTATCTGCTGAACTGTTAGTCAGAGGTCTTTCTCCTTTGAAACTGGGCCAGCTATAGCCCAAATTGGAACACAGAATAAAACATTACAGGAATTTTTAGGAGAGAACTTCAGAAGAAATTAAGAGGCATGATAAACACTTTTCCTGAACTTTTAACAGGTGTCCTGGACCTAACATTGATGTCTAAATTGGATCCTCAGCTTTGTTTTACTTAGGACTCCTTTGGTTGTAAAGGAGAAAAAAAAATCCAAAAGCAACACTTTGGAATATCTTAGCATATTCTTTCTTGACTCATAGAACTTTGAGGAGTCATATTCCTTATGAGGAGGTAGGGTAGGGGTGGTTTATAAAAATTAGTGGCAGGAACATATAATTAACAGGGACTACAAACCTTTGGGCTCTTTCTGAAATTTTTCTAGTCTTCTAAAGGGTATTTGTCACTTTTTGCTTTTTCTGTGAAGAAGTCTATGACCTTCAGCTACTGAGGTTGATTGCCTAGCTATGAAGGACCAAGGATGAACTGGACTCATAACTATCACTCACATACCTGGGAGAGAGAAGCTGCTTAGATATTAGATATGTATGCCCAAGCATCCATTCAAGTGGGAAACTACAAGTGAGGGTTTCATCAAACAAGCGTGAATACAAGGTATCTTCCCATGTGGAAAGAGAGAGACAATGGAGACATTCTTGGAGAAAGAGAAGCTGTTCTAGGCTGACTCACATAACATGGTAATAGGTTAAGGATAGAGAGGCGTCTGGTTCTGATTGATCTCTTTCTGTAAACTTGAAGTTTTGAACTCTATAGATCCATAGAAACTAACAAAAAGTAATACCAAGCAAACTTGTTTCTCTTTCACAGTTTGTCCCAATGATTACATTTTACCTAACTATAGCCAGGATAATTCTATACTGTTTTATCACATGTTGTCCTATTGTGTAGATTTGTGTAGCAATCACTGTAATCACCATGTTTGAGGAGAAGTCACACTTACCTCCTATTCTCTAACATTCATAGTCCTTAGCAAACACTTGTCAAATTTTCATTCATATCATTTTAAGAATGCTATGTAAATGGAACCATGTAGCATGCAACCGTATGGATTTGACATTTTTTTTCCTCAGCAAACATTTAGTACATTGAAAAAAAAAAACAAAAGCAAAAAGAAACAAACAAAGCAGTTCAGGACACTAATACCAAAGAAAGGCAAACTTTCACTCCTTAACTTCCACCCAAGTGTGGTAGATGTATCAGGCAGCACTGTGTGCACCAGCGTTCTGTGGCATGGATACAGCAGTCTGTTTAGACACTCTCCTATTAAGTGATAATTTTGGCTGTGTGTATTTGGTGAACATCACAAATAAAGTTGCGGCAAGTATCTCTGCACAGGTTTTGATTTGTACATGATTTTTCCCCCTTTGGGATAAGTATCCTGAACTGTGATTTCTTTTGGATTGTCTGCTATGTGTAGTTTTAAAAGAAGTTAACCAAGTTATCTTCTAGCGTGGCAGTACCATGTCACCCTCCCACCAGCAGTGTGTGAGAGAGACACTGAGTTTCTCCATGTCCTTTCCAGAATTTGGTGTTTTTCCTTTTTTTTTTTTAATTTTAGCTGTTTCATTAGGTGTGTAACTCTATGTCCTTGTGATATTAATTTGTATTTCTCTGAAGGTTAGTTATGTTGAAAACTTTTCGTGTGTATGTGTGTGTGTGTGTGTGTGTGTGTGTGTGTGTGTGTGTGTGTGTTTGCCACCGCACATCCTCTTTGGTGATACAACTCTTCCTATCCCTTGATTATTTTTTTTGTTTGTTTTTCAAGATAGGGTCTCCCTATATAGCCTTGGATGTCCTGGAACTTGCTCTGTAGACCAGGCTGGTCTTGAACTCATAGCTATCTGCCTGCCTCTGCCTTCCAAGTGCTGGGATTAAAGGCATGTACCACCACACCTAGCTCCTTTGATGATTTTCCAATTCTCTCTCTCTTTTTTACTGTTGTATTTTGAGTTCTTTGCTTTTTTGCTTTCTTTCTTTTAAGGGGAGAAGGGCTTGTTTTAGCTCAAGGTTTGAAGAGCTACAGTGTATCATGGTAGGGGAGGCATGGATTAAAACACATGAGGCTGTTGCTGCTGTAGCATTGGCAGATGTATACTCAAAAAGTAGAGAGAGAAATGCCAATGCTCTGAGTGTTGAGAACTTTTTGTATTCTGAATAGAAATACGTTTTTCGATTTGTTGCTTTCACATATTTTGTCCCATGAAACTTGTGAAACTTGTCTCTTCATCCTTTTTATAGGCCATTGTGTTTTTCTTTTTTGTTGTTGACATTAAGTGTTAATATTTGTACATATATTGAATATTATCATGGGATATTTATTGCCTTACCAGAAATGCCAGTAACTAATGTTCTTTAGAGGAGAAAGAATACTTGAGTTTCTAAACTTGAATAATAGCTATTTGTTCCTGCAGGGAGGAAAGGGTGAGCTTTACTTCATCTCAATTTATTAAAAAATCCACAACTGAAATGAGTTTCATTTCAAGAATCAACAGTTTGAGAACTTGAGATAGGACTTGCTCAGAAGTAGATTGGACTCAGTGCAAGCTCTGTAGACGTGCAATTGAAACTGAACCTATGTACTTGAACAAACGTCTGAATATAAAACATCCCAAAGCACAAGAAAAAGTCTTCTAGAATGTTGTCCTTTTGGAAAAAGCACTAAAATATGACTGAGACGCAGTTTTTTTTCTAGTAGACATTTAAATTTAAGTTTGTTGTAAAGCAAAGGAATGTACCATGTATCAAAATTTAAGCATTCTTTTTATGTTATTTATATTTTGTTTCTGTTATGTTGCTATTATTCTCAAAATTGTCCTTTGTGGTATTAGTTTATTTTTATTGTACTATTACATATATTATTTCTTCAGTAAATAAGTTTTGAATTAAAAATTACTCTTATATGTGAAAGCCAGATAATTTCTCTCTCTCACACACACACACACACGTGTGTACATACACACATGCACACATGTGCAACATGAGAACAAGAAGGAGACATTTGTGAAGATGATGGGACCTAGTAGGAAAGGAAGCATGGCAGGAAAATGTATTGAGTAGTGAATATTGGCCAAAGTGCATGGTATATTTGAATGAAATGTCATTATGAAACCTTTCACTTTGCTCAATGCATGTTTGCTAAGGAAATTATTTTTTAAAAAGTAGGGGAGATGGCTCAGTGGGTAAAGCACAAGCATGAGGTCTTGAGTTTAAATCCTAGAACCACAAGTGTAAATGTAATCTCTGTTTTATAAACAAGCAGACTTTTAAAGCTTCTTCCCTGCTTGTAGGTGGCCCAAACAAATAACCTTTATGCTTACCCTGGAAGGGGCTAATCTACAGATTAGCAGGCTGGCTAACATAGTATAGACTGAGAAAGTAATCATCATATCTATAGGGTAGAGCTGTACTTTTGTTGTGTTTCTTGCTGTGGGAATAAGAGGTTGTAAGTTATACTTGTGGTGACCATATTGATTTATCATGCCCATCATGGACAGTTTTAAAAGATCAAGAGGGTACTAAGAAGACTTACGGCCAAACAGTGTAAGCAGAGACTTTAATAGATCATGTGAGAGGAACACATGATCTCCCTAGTTATGCCTGTTCTTTGAATTTAGTACTGACTTAGCTGAGGTATGCTGGTACAAAAGCATTCTCCATTTTTTGTCAAGTTCCTCAGATATATTCTGGTACATATTAAGCTTTACATTCTCTCCCTCATAAAGAAATAAAAACGAATTAGGCAGTCTTGCTAAATTAATGTAGAATTTCTGCTTAAGAGAATGTTCTGTTCTTTTCCACCAGTTTTGTCCACTGAAGTAAATTCCATTAATGCTTATACAAAAAGGGCCAGTTGGCTAATAAGAATTATCAGAAAATTGAAACACAATTGTTTGAAAAGACACAATTCACAGCCTTTATTCAAGTTGTGAAATGGGGAGTAGCTTTCATGTGTAAATAATTCATCTTGACAAATCTGTCTCATGTCCCTACATGCCTGCTGTCTTGCTGGCCTGAGAACATGAGATGTTATTTTTAGAGCCCTGGGATGTTAACCTTTGTCAGTTTAGCACCTCTCATGAATCTGAGTTCTGATTTGCAAGAAAGGGTCCAGACCTCTGAGTCTCTTTTCACCGAAATGTTTGCGCTATTTTACAGGCAATCTTCCAAGCAGAAGAAGGCCATTCAGACTGCTATTCGCAAAAATAAAGAAGCCAATGCCGTGCTGGCCCGCTTGAACAGCGAGCTGCAGCAGCAGCTGAAGGTAAGGGCTGCTCCCTACACTGGGATCCCCTCACTCTAAGCTGGCTTTTTGTTTTGACTATCAGATTCCCATTCGTTTTACTAAGAGCTGCTTTTGTTCTCTAAGCTCATGAAGAATGAATGTATTTTAGTTAAGTTCTATTGGTCGATTCTTGAATGCTTATACCAAGACTGCTAACCTCACTATGGAGGCTATATAGCATGTAGGAGTTAAAAGGAACCAAAGCCTGTTACAAACTCTGTATTCTTTGTTGGTCAAAGCTTCTGAGTAAGCTTAGACTGTTTATGAATGATGCTACATTTCTGTGGAAGTAGGCAGCCTGGGTTAACCCCTCTTCTGGTACCTTGGAAACGGTTCCATTTTGCTTTCTCAAGGACATTATCCCTGCTTTTCTCACCTGTTTCTCTCCATCATGTCTCCTCTGCATCCGTTTCTCAGGCTGCTCTAACCATATACTACAAATGTGGTGCTATCCTACAGTATTACTTTATTCTGTCCTGGCTCTGGAGTTTGAAGTCAGGGTGTCATCAGAGCCCTGCTGTCTTTGAAAGCTTTAGAGATGACTCCTTGTTTACCACTTCCCAACTCCAGGCAGTTTCTGGCAATCCTTACCATTTCTTGGCCTGTACATAAAGTTGCAGTCTCTGTCTCCATTGTCATGTGACATTCTTCCCGTGTCTTGTCTGTTACCTGCTCTTATTGTACATTTCTGATGAAAGATACCCGTCATTGGATTAGGGCTTGACCTAATCTATCATGATTTTGTTATCCTCACATGATTTTGTTTACATATAAAACTCATGTTTACAGGTCCTGGGAATTAGGACTTGAATATGTTTGGGTGGGACATGATTTTACTGGGTTATCCTCAACCCGAATGTAAACATACTTCAGCATTAGTAGTTCCCTTTGAGTAATTGTTGTTCCATTTCTCTGGCCTCCTTCATCTGCATTTTCTCACTGACTGTCTTTCCTTCCTTACTGTTTTCTCTCCCCCACCTGAGCATGGTCTTTCTCTTTTCCCACATTGCTCTTATGGCAAGGTCTAATGGGCTTTGGTTTGTTTGCTTGTTTGTTTAATGGGATTTTAGAAGAATCTACATAAATGACCACCCTCTCCTGTAAAATTACTTTTCTTTTCTTTTCTTTTCTTTTCTTTTCTTTTCTTTTCTTTTCTTTTCTTTTCTTTTCTTTTCTTTTCTTTTCTTTTCTTTTAAATACAGGGCCTTAATATGTAGCCAAGGCTGGCCTGGAACTCAAAATCCTCCTGACTCAACCTTCTGAGCTCTAAGTTGGCAATTATGCATTGCAATGCCCATCTGGAAACAGTGTTTGTGACTGAGATGCTGTGCTTTATCCTCCTTTGCCTTCTACTCCACAGGTGCTGCTTTAGCACTCCCTACTCTTGTCCATCCCTGACTTCTCATTTATGTGCCTACCACCTCTCCCTAGACTGTTTATTCCAGAACTTTTAAATACATAGAAAATTTGAAAAAAAAATGTCTTGTACAGCTACTCCTTCAGTTATACCACTAACATTTTATTATACTTGTATGTATGTGGTTTGTCTGTTTGCTCTATTCATCAGTTAATTTTGACATATCTTTAAATAAATTACCAACATCTGTATATATTCTCAAAATATCTCAGCATATACATTTTTAAATAGAGTTCAATTTTTTGAAACTGGATCTCTCTACATAGTCCCTTCTGTCCTGGAACTCACTATATATACAGAATAGGATAGCCTTGTAGATTACAAATTTTTTTTCTTATGATGAGAAATTTAACACACAAAATCTTAACTGCATACTTATGACAAATGTATATTGTAGGCTTAGATTTTTCACCTAACCTCTTTATTTAGTGTTCCTAGATGCTTATACCTCCCTCCCACCCACTGACCAGAGGTAGTGGAGAAAAAGGTTATTTTAGGTAAAGGGGGTTGTAGACCTTTTTAGAAGTAGTTCTTTGGGATGAGACCACTCTTAGTTGTCTGGATGCCAGTAGTCCAGTCCAAAGGCCAATACCAAGCAGCAACATGAATCAGCAAGATTCAGCAGATTGGACAGGTCAGTGAAAGCCTCAAGACTCAGTTGGTTTGCCCTGAGAAGTTTTCTGGGAAGTTTCTCTCTGTGAAGTCAAGTGTGGAAGCACAAAGACCAGTTCAGCGATGTTGATCCAGAAAGTGATGTCTCACTGTCTGTGGGCTTCTCTATATCACCTACTCTCCTCAGATTCCACCCATAGATGTTCTCAGCTGGAAAAAGTCATGCCCTTTGCACGAGAGAGCTCACAACAAAACATCTCCATGCCTTCTCACAAGCCAACCTCCAGCAAAATATCACCTGCCCTCTCACAAGAAAGCTTCTAGGAAAACATCACATGACTCAACTGAGTCTTCAAAGAAACCAGAACTTCCAATTCAGTATATACTTGTAGAAGCTAAACTATGGATTTAGAGACTGTTGCCATCACCATAAGAGGTGTCCCCACTTTCTTTCCCATTCTACTCCTACACCATCCACAGGCCAAACCACTATTCTGATATTTTCATACCACAGTTTTGCCTGTTCTATAACTGTACACGATGATATCCTACAACAAATACTTCTGGATAAAGTTTTTGAGATTCATCTCTTTTGTTGTGTGCATAAGGAATTCACTCCTTTCATTGCTAACTAATATCACACTGAGTGAATATGCCACAATTTCATTGTTAGGTCTATTGATGAACACTTGAAATGTTTACAGTTTTAGAACATTGTGAATAAAACTGAGTCATTGAACATGTGTTTTTTATAATTTTTTATTAATTACACTATATTCACTTTGTATCCCCCCATGAACACCTCCCTCCTCCCCTCCCAGTCCCACCCTCCCTCCTCCTTCTCTATGCATGCCCCTCTCCACGTCCACTGATAGGGGGGTCTTCCTCTGCTTCCTTCTGATCTTAGTCTATCAGGTCTCATCAGGACTGGCTGCATTGTCTTCCTCTGTGGCCTGGTAAGGCTGCTCCCCCCTCAGGGGGAGGTGATCAAAGAGCAGGCCAATCAGTTCACGTCAGAGGCAGTCCCTGTTCCCATTGCTATGGAACCCACTTGGACACTGAACATGTGTTTTAATATCATGTTTTTACTTGCTCTTTGAGAATTTCATGTACTGTATTTTGACCATATTTACCCCTTCTCCCCTCATGTCTTTTTAATATAACCCACTAAGTCTAACTTGTGCTGCCCCCTATATGTGTGGGTATAGGGCAATCCACTGCAGCTAGCTAGCTGGTCACATCCCTAAAGAAAAATGACTTTCTCTTGGGTAACAGCTATCAACTGCCAACAGTTTCTCTACCTATGGGCCCTCCCCACCCATGTTTGAATGTTCACTGACTTGATCTTTTGTAGGCAGTCATGACTTCTATGAGTTCATGAGTGCACTATGGTTCTGTCATACTCAGAAAACACTGTTTAGCCTTAGTCCTCTTTACAACCTGTGGCTTTTATATTCTTTTTACCTACTCTCCAAATATGTCCCATGAACTTTCCAGGGAGGGATAATGTTGATGTTCCATTTGTGCCAGAGCACTCCACAGAAACTTTGACATGCTTCTATGTGGAAATATATTCTCATTTATCCTAGAAGAAGGATTAGTTGATAATTGGTAAATGTTAGCCAGGTGTGGTTGCACACAGCTTTATTACCAGCACATGGGGGGCTGGGATCACTTTGTTCGAGGCCAGCCTGGTCCAGAGAGTGAGTTCTAGGGCAGCCAGGGCTACACAGAGAAAACCTGTCTCAAACAAACAAACAAACAAACAAACAAAAACAAAACAAAACAATCCATGATCAAGGCAACTTATAAAAGACAGCATTTAGTTGTGGCCTTATTGGCAGTGTCAGAGTTTGAGTCCATGACCATCACAGTGGGAGCATGGCAGTGTGCAGATAGGCATGGTACTTGAACAGTAGCTGAGAGCTTATGTCTTATCAAGTTGCAGGCAGGAAAGGGATTGGGTCTGGGTGAATTTTTGAAAGCTCAGAACCCATAATCAGTGATATACTTCCTCCAACAAGGCCACACCTCCTAATCCTTCCCAAACAGTCTCACAAAATGTTTGTCAATATTTCCTTCCAGTGTTTGTATCACCTATTTATTTAATAGCTATATACTTTTATGAGCAGATACTTCAAATTTTGATATAATCCACATTTGCCATTTTTCATAAACTTTTACTGTCTTTATAAGGAAACTGTATACCTATAGATTATCAAATAATTCATATCGACTTCTAAAAGTTTTGTTTTTTCTTTTATACTTTTAAATGAAATTTGTACATGATGTGACAGTAGGGTCAAGGTTCATTTTTTCCCCATTTTAGTATTTTCTTAGTCCAGCACCGTTTGATGAAAACACTTTTCCTCCCTTGGATCACTTTGGAGCCATTATCATACATCTAATAACCTGTAATTGTGGGTTCAGTTCTGATATCTTACTCTTCCCATTATTCTATCCTTGTGCTACACAGTCTTGATTGCTGTTGCCTTATACTGTCTTGAAATGTGCTAATACAAAATTTTCAATATGTTCTCTTTTCATGATTCCATTGGATAATATAAGCCTTTTATCTCATGCAAATTTGAGAATTGTACCACAAAGTAAAAACTGTTGGAGTTGTAGTTAGATTTGCATTGAATCTATCAACAAGTTTAAGTAGAATTTACATGTTAACAATGTTTATCTTACTAATCTGAAAGTAGAGGAGTCTCTATAACTATTTCAGCCATCTAAAATTCCTGAGTGATTTTGAGATTTGAGTGTATAATCTTTTGAAAAGTTCTTCAAAATTTTTTGTGATACTATTGCAAATTGGATTAAAAAACAAGTCCATTGTTCAGTTGAATTTGTGAAGGTCCCAGGATATAAGATCAATACACAAATAACCAGTAATATTCCTGAATATAAGTCATAAATAATTGGTAATGGAAATTTTTTAACATATCATTTCATAGTAGCTTACCTCCTGCCCCAAGTGAAATACCTTGGTACAAATCTATGAGAATACACATAAGATTTGTACACTGGAAACAAACAAACAAACAAACAAACAAACTGCTGCTGAGAGAAATCCAGGGAGACTTAAAGGTACAGATACACTTTCTTTGTATATTTGGAAGAGTCAATAGAATAGAGATATCTTTTTTCTCCCCAGGAATCTTTAGATTCATGACAATACCATTAAGATCCCAGCAGGATTTTTTTTAATGAATGCAAACTAGCTGATCCAAAAATTTATATGTGAGGGCTGGGGAGCTTGGAATTGTAAAAAAACCAAAGTGAGAAGGAAGAACAAATGAAGAAATCACTGTCAAGCTGCAATCATCAAGGCAGCATAGTACTGAGAGTGGTACATAGATCAGAATCCTAAATAGACCCCACAAATAAAGCCATTTGATAAAAGACAATGATGTAAAATCAACTAAACGAAAAGCTAGTTTCCCAGCATGTTTAACAATTGGTCACCCATATGTAACAAACAGAGACTCTTGATCTAAGTCTCACCCCATCTGCAAAGATTAACTGAAAAATACTCATCCATGTAAATGGAAAGCATAAAGCAATAAGACTTTTAGGAGAAAACAAATGGAAAAACCCTCATGATTTGAGGTTAGACATGACTTTAGTATAAAGAAATGATTACAAGCATAATCTACAAGTAAATAACTTAGTTTATTGGCCTTCATTAAAATTAAACACCTTTGCTCTATCAAAGACACTAGAGAATTAAGAGTCAAGTTACAGATGGGGAGCAAATATTTTCAAACTACTTATTTGACAGAAAATTTGTGTTCTGATTGAAACATGATTTTAAAATTCAAAAATAAGAAGTCTGGAGGAAAGCCTACTACTATCAGCCTGCTAAAGGAACAGAAGAGTAAAATGACTCCTAATGACATACTGCTATCCCCATAGCTCAACCCTCCTCAGAGAAACTTGTTCTTGCACTAGATGGGAATTAACACAGAGACGCACAGCTAGACAATGTGCCGAAAGTGAGACTTTGGAACGCTCCATCTTAAACAGGATGTCTTCATCAAAACCCTACCTTCCAGGGCTCAGAGATATGTGTGGAAAAGGACGTGGAAAGATTATAAGAACTAGAGGTGGTGGATGACTCCAAGGAAAGAGCGTCTATCCAAACACAAGGCTTATGCACATATGAACTCACAGATATCATGGCAGCATGCACAGGGCCTGTACATATCCAAGCCAGACAAAATCCTAGTTTGGAGAAGGGGACATGGACACAAAGCCTCAACCCTAATTAAGAAGATACTTGCAGTTGAACCTTCGGGGAAAGTGGAAGCCAGCTTTCTCCAATGGAGTCTCAATGGGTATAATGAGCACACTCCAGGGAAGGCCCCATGCCCAGAGGTAGTTGCCCAACACAAAACAAATTCTCTGTATACACTTTTTGTTTTCTTTTGTTTTGCTGTTTTTGTCCTATTGATTTTCTTTCTTTCAGCTTGTTTGTCTGGTTTTTTTTTGTTTTTTTTTTTTTTTGTTGTTGTTGTTCTTTCTCCTGTTTGAAAGAGTGAGAATATGAAGTTGGGCGAATAGGGAAGTAGAGAGGATCTGGAACGAATTGGAATGTAAAAAATATGATCAACATACGTTGAATGAAAAAAAATTTAAATAAAAATTAAAAAAAAGATTAAGAACTCTTAGAAACCCAAACATCTCAATTTAAAAATTGGCAAAGGACTGAAATAGCTATTTCGCCAATGAGGATATAAAGATGACACACATGCACATGAGATTATGATATTCTACATCATTAGCCACTTGGGAAATGACAACTAAAGCTAGGATTACATACTTCTATACACTCAATTAGAACTGCTGAGACAAATAAAATAAAAATAAAAAACCACTATCACTGAAAGGCAACTGGAACCTCATGCATTGGTGGTGTGACTGTAAATTGTACTTTCATCCTGGAAAGTCATTCAATGAAGTGATTTTTATATAATTTTTTTCTTCATTTACTTATTTTTTTTTTCATTTTATTTGGCTTAATGCCCACCTCTTTCCTTTTCTTTTTGCCTTTTTCCCAGTTTTGTTTTATTGAAACAGGGTTTCATGTAGCTCAGGCTGCTATCAGGTTGACTAATAGCTTTGAACTCCTTTGATCATCCTTACCTTACCTCCTAAGTGCTGGGATTCCAGGCACATGCCCCATGGCCTGTTTATGTGGTACTAGAGATGGAACCCGAAATGGCCTGCCTTTTGGGAAACACTCTACCAAGCGAACACTATTCCTTTTATATATCACTTTCACAAGACTCATTTGCTCCATCAGGCCTGCTCTTTCTTGGGTTTTGGTGATACCATCACAGCTAGAGCAGCATCTGACCTAGAGCTGATAGATATAGAAGATAGGTTGCTAGGAGAATAAGTGAATAACGTTTGTTTTTGTACGTTAGTTTTTCAATGTATGTTGGCTCTCTGGAACATCTTAGAGTTGAGCCTTCATTTAAGAATCTTTCCCACCTTAGCCAATTATACTTAAGAGTGCCTTCATGTGTCCTTTTTCTCTCTGCAAAATCTGTTTTAAGACTGAAAGTTTGAATTTCCAAATAGCAGTTTGCTGTTCCTCTATTCTGCCTTGTATTCAGAAATTATGTTAAACTGTATTATTTCCAAGAGCCTGTACAAGAGACTTTGGTGGAAGGATGACCAGTGTATCTTTTTATCCTTCATCCTTGGCTAAGTATTGTGCCAGAAAAGAAGTCAGAGATTGCATCTAGAAATTTAGTTGAGGCAATTCAGTTCTGTACTGGGAGTCAACTTTTTCTTCTGGTTCTCCCTCATTGGCTTTTTCATATTTAATGTCATTCTTTGCTACCTTCTGAGCCCATCTGAGAGGAGTGAGGTTAGGGCAGGGTTGCAAAAACTAGTTGGTCTGTTGTGCTGTGAAGTAGGGTTAGTTGTACCATGCTCAAAGTATCTCATGTGATCGTGCTGGCCCTTGGCTGCCCATTCCTGTGTCTGAGATGACTGTTTCAAGGTTACTGTTCTGTGGTGACACATATCAGTGCTGAGCAGTACAGAGGCTATGGGGTACTCATGAAGCCACACCTGAGCTTAGTGATTGTGAATACTCCATTGTCTAATCACCAGCATTGAAACTGGTGCCTTTCAGGCCATATGTGTCCTAGTGTTTGAGGGTCCTCTTCTGTATTTTCTTTGAATGTATAAAGAAAAGAGATGAACCAAAGAAATGATGCCTTTTCTATTTCTTTTCCCTGTTTTGTATAATTTAGGAGGTCCATCAAGAACGGATTGCATTGGAAAACCAATTGGAACAACTTCGCCCAGTCACAGTGTTGTGACATCCTCAAGGCTCCAGTGAAAGTGGATAACTTTGTCTGCCAAGATCTTTCTTTTGAGTGTTTGAGTCCAACTACTTGTCATAGATGTCTGAATGTCAAGAGCTGTGAGCAGCACAACATAATCTATATGACTTTCTCTTTTGCACTTCAGTTGTGTATTTTACAGTGGTCTTAAAAAAAGTCTTCAACTGCACTTAAAAATGTTAATTATCAGCTATTTGGGAGGCTGAAGCGGAAGGGTCACCAGCTCAAGCGCATCTTGAGAAGCTTATTGAGACACTGTCTCAAATAACAAAAAGAGAGGATACAGCTCAGTGGTAGAGTACTTGCCTGATATACAGGTAGCCCCCAGTTAAGTCCTAAGTACCATTTAAACATTAAACTTACCAGTGGCATTTATCTCCCATTTTAACCATGTTGAGATACTGCTCCTTATTAAAATTAGTCTTCTAGCAGATAATTCAGAGCAGTATTTATTTAAAGAATTTATAATGACTACAGAACCTATGAAGGAAGTACTACCAGGATGCCCATTTTATTCTTGTGTGTATGTTACATATAGTAGGTTGGTTTCCTGAATATTGTGGATTCCAGCTGGATAGTCTTCGGCATGATGATAATAAAAAACAAAAGCTGAAAGAAAATTAAAGCTTCAGATTTACACTGGCACTGTGCCCTACCCCTGTATGCCAAAACTGCTTCTCTAGTACAATTTTGATATTATATCAGCTATAAATAATACATGACTATTGTTTTCTATTAAATATCAGAATATTATTGGGTTTTTACACCTCTGTGAAGTAGAGATTTTTGGCAATGAACTGTTTAAGGTGGCCAATCTAGGCCATTAACCTAGATAACTTATAATCTAAATTTTTGGGCAGGCACAATCTACTTTAATTGCCTTGCCTGATCTTATTAAATAGTTGCCAGATCCTTATTTTATCCTCCACAGGAGAACATCTCTAAATGCATGAGCTTGGAAACCACCCAGGATTGCTATATATTTGGTACTGAACTCAGGTATCCAGGCTGAGAGGAGAAGGGAAATAGCTACTAACTCTCCCAACAATTCCTGGTTGTTGTTGTTGCTGTCATTTTTATTTTAGCCTGGATTTCAAATGTTTTGTGTTTGAAGACACAATGAAAGAATGTAATCTTCTCACCAGCTATATGACTACTTGTTTTCTGTAAAGTGTACTCTTGGGAAGTATTGGCTTTATATACAGTTCAGGGGAACTCAGAGAACTCTAGTGGAAGTAATATAAAGTAAGCTCAAAGTGCAGAAGCCAGTATCCTGTAGAAATTTAGTAGTATAGCCCAACTGAAAGTGGGAAATGACTGACCCATATGTTCATAGGGTCCCTGGTTCACTGATCCTCAACAGAGCATTCTGATGTTAGCATTACTTCGAAAGGCTTACAGCATGCCATACCATCTGTCTTTTGTGTGTTTTGCTAACTTACTCATTCTTTGGATAGTGGAATGTGGTGTGTGCACAGGGTACTTTTTGAAATGTTTTTATTTATTTATTTTTTTATTATTAGTTACATTTTATTAACTCTGTATCCCAGCTATATCCTGCTCCCTCATTCCCTCCCAACCCCACCCTCCTTCCCTCATCTCCTCCCTGCCCCTTTCCAAATCCACTGATAGGGGAGGACCTCCTCCCCTTTCATCTGACTCTGTTTTATCAGGCATCTTCAGGACTGGCTGCAGAGTCCTCCTCCTAGCAGGACTGCTCCTCCCTTTGGGGGGTGGGGAGGTCGAAGAGCCTGCCACTGAGTTCCTGTCAGAGATAGTCCTTGTTCCCCTTACTATGGGAAACCAATTGGTTACTGAGCTACCATGGGCTACATCCGAGCACAGGTTCTAGGTTATATCCATATATGGTCCTTGGTGAAGTAGTTTTGGGTAGATTTACAATATGTAAGATTAAGCTGTTGATTTCAATGGAGTTGAGAGCATTTAGTAAAAATAAGCATTTATCTAATACTTCCCTGTTCCTTTGGCAAGCTTTATCAGTAGCTGAACAACAGAAGAAAAGGGTTCAAACAGATGATGTTTTTCCAAAGAAAAACAAATTGTTGAATATCTTCCATGCATATTTAAGGATTTGAATCAGATTTGATTTGGAAAGTCCTGAAACTTGAACTATTTCTGCATTTCTCTTTCTCCTTTGGCTGCCTTTCTTGTTGTTCTTGTGCGGAGGGCTTGGGAATGAGTTTAACCCTCCTAAGATTATGAATGGGTCAGTGCAAATTCCTAGGTGACTCTTTTCTTCCATATGCCGGGATGTTGGGATGTGGGGACTGTGACCAATTTTCAACAGTGTTACGACTGCAGATGTTTCACAGCATGCTCGGCCTTTGGTACAGCTGATACAGGAAAGAGTAACATGCACTTTATCTCGGAATCTTCCCGTGCATATGCACTTACTTGGGATCATACTTCATATCCACCAACCAGACGTGCCCTAAGGAATGTTAGTCTATACTGAGCATTTAAAAGCCCTGATGTATTGTTTCCCCCATGAAGTAAAAGACACGGGGAACAGGGTGAAGAGATTGGAGTTTTCTTTAGTTGGCCTTGTTTCCTGTCAAGGCAAAAACTTGCATTGGACAATGAAGGCCTTCTGAGTTTCCCAGCCTCACCGATTTATTTCTTGTAGTGCTGGGGATCAAACCCAGGACATCATTCGTTCTAGGCAAATGCCAGTTCACAACTTTAGCCTATCACCAATATTTTAACTTAGGCATTGCATTAAAACAAATACCAATAATACATGCACATACACAAAGTATTCTTAACTGGGCTTAATTTTGATCAGTTTATTAGTTGCTTAGAACTAGATTTTTAAAGGAAATATTTGTGTTTCTATCTAAATATACACTACTAAATACATATTATTTTGTGACTAGTATTCATGCTTTATTTCTGTGTTTTCTTAGGATGTGCACTTTTAGGGTTACAATGCCTGATAATATTTTTGACAGCCTTTAATATGATATAGTAAGGCAAACACATTGAAATCACCTGTAAATCTACTCTGGAATTAATCACCACCTACCACAAAAAGAAGCTTCTTTGAAGAGGGATGAGAGTTGAGATTTTCTTGTTGTGCAGAATTCTACAGAATGAAGGTTAACCCTGTTTTGATTCATGGGGGTTTAATTGCCTTGAGGCTCAATGGTTTTCCTGCATGGGAATCTTCTAGTCCTCCAGATGAAAGCACAGTAGGAACTGATCGTGAGATTATTGGGGCCTTAACATTTCCTGTAAGTGGCATATAGCATTTGTCTGCCTTTCTATCCAGAGACCTAAAGCAAAGCCCAAGTGGTAAATAGCAAGACTGGATGTGTAATGTGACAATCAAGACAGATGTTTGCTCTAGCTGGAAAGATATAAGCACTTTATAAGTATCGTACAAGTGTTTGGGACTAACTGAGAAATAAATCAGCTTAGCTGGAAGCTGTGCCCATGTACATGTTAGAGCTAGGTAGGGCCAGTGTTTCTTTCCTCTAGCTGGCGCTGGAAAATCACATTCCTGATTGTGGACTCTTGGCCAAAGAAATACATAGCTAGTGGTAGAGTTGGGATGCTAGCCTGATTTTATAGATTCCAAGTTAGTCTTCTGTCAATTGTAAGAATATATTAGAAAGCCTTTTCTATTTATCATGTTGAATTTCATTGACTTAATTGGTCTTTAAATATGAAACCATTTTCTAAGGAGTTTTAGGTCTAGACATTTCTCTAAGAGTTAATAAAAAATAAAATTTAAAGGGAAATAATGTTATTAAACTATTCTTTTAATGCCTCACCTTTGATGATGCAGTATGTTACTTTAAATCTTGGCAGAACTTTCAAAAGCTATTGCTTTGAACAGATTCCAGTCTCATATTCCTGTTGGCATTTGCTTTCTTAAATAGACTACTGTGATAAAAATGAACTCAATATGTAGTAGCTTACAGTTTTTTCCAGTATAACGTTGGTTGCTTGGGTCACAAATGTTCCATTTTAGCACATTTTAGGAATAAGTAATCAAAAACATGAACTTTTCTTTTGACTTCCTACCAATGTCTGAACTATTGTAAAATGTTTTACTTTAGCTGTGATTTTATTGTATAGTATTTCTAAATATTTGTCTGTGTCCTGAATGGTCTCATAACTGTGTCCATAATGGATATATAATTAGAAGTTCATTTAGACAACATTGATGTGATTCTTGCAATCAAGACAGACACTTGCAAATGTCTTATTCTAAGCAGTAGTTAGAAAGAACTTGATTATAGCATTAACACCTTAAATCTAAAACATTTGTTTTCACACAAACTACAGTCACACCTCTGACTAGACATCATCAGGAGAAAATTGTCTTAACAATCATAAAAGCAAGAATTTACCATCTCATCACAAGCACAATGCCCCATGTGATTGACAAGGAGGCTCACTAGGATGCCGTTTTAGCATTAAGAGTGTGATGAAAATAGAATAGCGGCTAAAGAAATCTCTTCCCCTCTCCACACACTAAATACAACACTAATGCTTTTCTTTGCTCTTTCCAACGATTAATTCTGTTTCTAGTGTCCCCTTAAAATTCAGACTTCAACAGAACAGTTGAATTTCGACTTTAGTTATGGGTGTTACAGTTTTTGTGTGTGTCAGGACTCAGTGTCATTCAAGTTCCTAGTGAGAAGCAGAGATCTGGATGTGTGCAATCCTCAGCTTGCACATGTTGCTTCCCTTTTGGCACAGCTGATAGAGACAGCACAGACAGGTTGGTCGCTGGTGCCAACTGAAATAAATATTTCTGTGGGCCATTTTGCTTTGCCCATTTGCAAAGAGAGATACATCTAATTATATGAACCTCCCAAGAATTGTAGACAGACTTTAAAAGCAATGCATGCAGATTCTGAGAGCTGTTGCCCAGCCCCAAACAGCCTTTCAGAGAAAGTCTTATAAATATGCAGCCATTGTGTGATTATGAGCTGGGCAGCCCAGAGATAGTTAAGTTTAGGTTTATAGGATTACTTTCTACTGCCTCTAAATACACATGGTGGTAAGGGATACATTAAAAGCACTGCAGATTGCAGCTGACGGTGCCCACTCTGTCTGCAGAAGCCTTGCTTTGCTGGCAACTGTTGGAGAACGCTGAGTTTACATGGCTTGTGATTTCTCCTGTCTTGCTCCTAGCTAATGTCATGGCTGTGGGAAGTTATCCCCACTAGATTTATGACTCTGAAGACCAGAGGACAGCAGGCTTTTAAGAGGGCTTAAATTGGGATTCGAAGTGTACATTGTGGAAACCCTCAGGTAGCAGGTTCGTAGCAGTCTGGGATGATAGGACTAGATCCTAAAGTTCTTGCAGAGTGCTGTGCCATGAGACTGAACACAGTACCCATCATATGCCACTTTTATCAACTAAGTTGTAGTTTTTGTTTCCAATCAACTTGTGTGACAACTTTCCCAGCACCTAACTTGGGAAGCAGGGACATCCTCTTCTTTAGAACCAGAGCTGCCATTCTTTTCATCTTCAGCACAAATTAGGTATTTAAGTGAGCCAGAGACAAAAAGCCATTTTAGTCTTCATAGTTAACGGCTAAGAGAGATAATGAGCTGACTATTTTCACCTCAAAGGTAAAAATGTAAATTATATTTTTTCACTACAGGTACATGTAACAGTAAAAAGTGTATCAGCAAAGTATATATTTGATGCTTTCTGTCTTTTCATGATATTGTGCCAACAAGTTGTGCTAATATTTAACTCAGCCAGAGTCTCATTCATTTGCTAAGCATTGGGAACATTCTGTGTAATTACCTTAAACATAAATAAATCCCTGAGAGCGTCCTATATTTGGATTGTGATTTGTAGACTCATGCTAACTTTACTGCCTCTTTTTCACACTTGTTGGAAAATCTGTGAAGAACATAGTAAGTTAAGGACTGCCAACTTGGAAAATGTACATCATGTGAAACTGGGGTGCTACATTAAAATAAACGTATGATCACTAATGGTTTTGATGGCATCTTGGTGTCAACATTTGGTCTCCTGTGCATGTGCACTTAAATCAGGTAGTGTGAAAGGAGTTGGAGGGTCTTTGCATTGAAATCACAATTTGAGGTTTGGTTAATTTATCTTCCGACGCGGCAGGTTCTTCAATGTCTATGAACAGTAAGCACTTAGCAGCCAGGGCACACCAGAGCAGACTCACTTTAAAGATCTGCTGACTTGAAACTGGACTTAGGGTGGAGCCAGGTTACTTGCTTTACTTCCTCAGTGTTCTTTTAGTTTGTGAATATTCCTAAACTGGATATATGCCTGTAATCCCACAATTTTAGAGTCTGAGGCAGAAGGATCACAAATTATTATCCTCCTCTGGTATAGAGTGGGTTAAAGGCCAGCTTAGATTATTGAGTGAAGCCATGTCTCAAAACCCAAAGTCAAAACTAAATAAATAAATAAAACGATGACAAACAAAAACTGTTCCCATCATGGTGTTCTTAACTAAAAAGGGGATTGTCTTAGTTACTTTACTTCTTTGCTGTCATGAAATACCTTAACAGAAGCAATTTAAGAGAGAAAGGGTTTATTCCAGCTCACAGTCCATCATGGCAGAGAATTCAGGGTGGCAGAATCTTGGACTGTTGGTCACATTACATCCATAGATGAATGTATGCTGCTACTCAGTTCCCTTTCACCATTTATACAGTTTGGGGTTCCATCTAGGCAATAGTGGCCTCCATCCATATCCAAGGCTCTTCCCATTGCAATTAGTATAATCAAGATAATTCCATACAGGCTTGCCCAGAGACCTGTTTCCCAGGTAATTCTCAGTTCTTTCAAGTTAACAGCACTAACCATCAAAGGAGTGATAAAGCAGTCATCCCCAAATCCTGACCAAATACTCTTGCACCTCAGCTGCAACTTCTTACCTTTAAAATGTGTATAATTTTGGCAGACACAAGTCTCCTATTGTCTGGAGACTTTTTATTATTTTCTGCTGTGTTATAGTGTCCATCTGTTATCGTTTGGACATGTATTAAAGGCTGGATCCCAGACTATTGGTTATTATTTCAGAATATTCTGAGGACTTTAGGAAGGACCACAAACTTGAGGATTGTCCCAGGCCCCTCTCAGTCTCCCTGTTTTCTGTTTGCTGTCGTGTGAGCTGTTTTGTCACTCTCTCCCTTCCCTGAAGCACTTTGATGTCTGTAACCATTGTTAGGTCTCAAACCTCAGACAAATATCTGTAGTGTCCATTAACATAGCAAAGCAGACCTGGTCATGAGGTTCTCCCAGCATCCCTTAGTCTTTACTGTCACAGGGCCTTCCTGGCTGGCATACTCTGCCCCCACATCTGAACTCACCAGCCCAGGTATTGGCTCATCTTCCCTCTTTGCAGCTCCCCTGACCCCTGTATAACTCAGCAATTTTTGGCTTATTATGCCCAGATCTTAAGGTCCCAAAGACCACCAGGAGCTGAACCACATGTGCAAGAGCAAAGAGCTTTATTTGGGCTTAAGCTTGGTCTCTCCACCATCATCAACACCGTGGATCAGAGAGGAGAGCCTGGAGCAGCTGCATGACTGGGTTTTTATTTGGGGTTTTGGGAAGGACTGGAATTCCCAGCTTAGCAGTTATACAATTGGATGACATTCAGCAAGGGCAAGCTTGTTACAAAGTGATTGACTAACATAACATTGAGCAAGCTATCTATAGACTCAGGAATGTTAGGTATTTTCTGTGCCATGAAATGTTCTACTACAAGGTCAGTGGACTGCTCAGCACAAATGCCCCACCCTAAGACACCTTCCCATTCTTGTGGTTATCCTCAGGTTGTTCCTTGGGCAGGAAAACTTATGACCTTGTTCCTAGAATTGGTGACCCTAGTTCCTAGTTCCTGGAACTGATGACTTTTTTTGAACAGTGTGTGTGTCTCATGCCTGGTCCTGGCCCAGGTTGCCCCTGTTGGTTGGCATCCCCCTTCCTTTCTCTTCCTTCTCATGGCCCAGCTCAGGGTCATGCTCACTCTGGACTCTCCCAGAATTTCCTGCTCTTAATGTGTTCTCCCTTTTAAAATCTACAATAGACTTCCTCCACCATACCTTGGAGCAGTCATGTCCTTCATTTTTTATTTATTTTCTTGTCATTCAACCATGAATCAAAATATATCTTTCTTCTGTTTATGTAAGACATATTGCCACAGTGATGGACGTTTACTACATTGTTCATGAATTTGTTCTGTTTGCTGACCCACTGTCTATAGATAATTTACTGCACAACCAAGTGCTGGCTCAGGAGTTAGAAATGAGACTAAGATGACAAACTTGTTGCTTCAAGAAGCTCACAGATCACTAGGATGGAGAACTATAGATGAGGTAAAGTAGAATATGTTGTGTTAGGGTAGGCTAACTGTAGATACTGTGAAGGCATAAACCACCTTGAGTTGAGATTAAAGCTATTTTCAACATTTAAGAGAAAATGTATGTAATTGTTCATAGTGCTAATATTCAGGGAGTAATTTATGATTTCCCCCATTTCCTGCTGTCTATAAAGGAAATATTTTACTCAAAGTGTTATACCCAGTTTGTGAGCCCCCAAAAGATCTACAGGAATTGACTCCGTTGCAAAACACATGAGGGTCTTTTTATTGTAAATTACAAGCTGCAGCTTGGGCCTACACAGCCCCACTGCCGAAGCGGTGGGAGCTGAGCGCGCCGTCCCCAGGTTAGTTGGGTGATTTATAGATTCTGGTCCCTCCCAGCATGCCCAAGGCAGGGGCAGTTCCTGCCTGGCAAGCATCTATTGGTCAAAATGCTACATTTTGAATTGATTGGCTATAGGAAGGTCCCCAGACTATAATGACCTGGTGTCCCTCCCTAGAGGGATGGACCAGTTTCCTACCAACTGCTATCTCTAGTAGGCAGGGAAAGAATGCAGTAAGGCTGTCCTTCCCCTCAGGGCATTACTAGACTTCTCCACCCACATAGTTCAGGCCTTAACTAATAGCTGCTAATTTTTAATCTTTTTGGTCTCTCAAAAGACTGCAAACTAGTGTTTTTAACATGATCTACACCTGAGAAGTCAATTCATTCTACATATTCTAGTATGTGTTCAGGCAAAGTACCAGAATCTAAGATACATGTATCTTAATTAGGGTTTTATTGCTGTGAAGAGACCACTGCAACTCTTACAAATGAAAACATTTAATTGGGGCTTGCTCATAGGTTCAGAGGTTTAGTCCATTATCATCATGGCAGAAAGTATGGCACTATGCAGGTAGAATGATGCTGGAGGAGCCAAAAGTTCTACACCTGGATCCACAGGAAGAAGAGAGACACTGGGCCTGGCTTGAACATCTGAAAACCTCAAAGCCCACCCTCAGTGACACACTTCTTCCAACAAGGCCACACCTATTCCAACAACAAGGCCACACTCCCTAATAGTGCCAGTACCTATGGGCCATTTTTATTCAAACCACCACAATAATAAACCTTTTCTACGCAGAAATCTTATGGGACAATGTGAGGTTTATTTTGTTTCATCTTAGACTCCTTTACAAAGGTGGTGGTATTAGGGACTCTGTGATGACTGAAGACTGTAGAGCTCATTTTTTGTCAAGATGATTATCAAAGTGCAAAATAAAGTGCTGGGAAATAAAGTTGAAATATTGTTATGTTTGAATAAGAATGCACAGTGATTTTATTTAACAATTGGAAGAAATCCCCACGCCTGTCCCAGAAATTGCTCTAAGTAGAATGTCTCCATGGTCCAAGAACCCTGTTGTATTGTTTTCCAGCTGTGAGATGTTGTAGGATTTTGGACAGTGGTATTACAGGCACCTGAGGGGTATTTTCCTTATAGCATTTTCACTTTAAACAGAGAAGGAAAGGTATTAGATTGTACTCCACAGAGACCTTCCTTTGCTTTCCCTGAAGTTCTCTTAGCAGATTGGGTAGAAGGGATTGGCACAGAAACTAGAAAATTTTGACTATCCAACTGTGAGGATTCTGTGGCATCATCAGTAGAAACAGCCAGAGTAGTTGTTTACAGCATAGACCAGCAAGGATGTTTTGGAGAGAGGAGTATGTGATCGCTCATGTTTGGAATTATGGAAGACTTCATGTTGTTAAGAGCAGCTGGATTTTAGTCTGTATCATTGCTTTTAAGTTTTCTAAAAGGAATGTACCTCCTATTCCTATATCTTGGGCTGACTGCTTCCATCTTTGGTACAGCATTATAGAACAGATGACAAGCCTTCACTCCTGTATTGAACTTAATCAAAACTACAAGGCTGAAGGAAAGCCAAAGAGAAGAAAGGTAATGCTTGTGGAATGGAATAAAAAAATTCAAACAAATTAAATACAGACACAGAGAACTGTGGTGCAGGTTCTTTGATATTCAAATGAAATTGGCTTGAACTTCAACCCACGCATGTTGAGAGCCTGTGTCCTGGTCTCCCTGGCGTTTCTGTGACACAGATGATGGTGGAGAGATTACTGTTTTTGTCCCTGTTGCTTCTGTCTCCAAGAGGCATCCTAAGAATTAGTTTCATAGACTGATTAACTACCTCTACCCCACACATTATAAACATTAGGCATTTGTGTGTATGTGAAGGATGAGGTAAAACAGAAAAGAGGCAGCATTTACAGAATATTTAGAGAAATAAGAACTTTGAACTAATATATGTACAGATTAATCATATTGTACAACTCCAGAGGACATTGCTCATGTAATCTGTATGAAAGATACTTCTCAGATGCAGTAGGCTTCCCTGTGTATCTGTGCTGTCCAGTTTACTCTTAACCTTACCAAAGTGTACCCCGTTTCCCTGCCTGCATATCTACTGTTCTGATAATGCTGGCTGAGGGAAGGTGAGGAGGTGGGAACTTTGGTGGTCCTGCCTGCACCCCGTGCCTTTACCCCTAAACATATCTCCTTGACCACCTTGTTTCTACCATAGGTCTAGTCTGATAGTTCTCTGCTGGGTTTAACCTGCTTCTGGCTTCCCC